AAGAACTTGTTGCAATCGAGGATTCATTTTAAGAATGGTATCATCATTTAGAAGGTGCTCCTAATCCAATCATTATATATATGGATCACATTAATCTTAAGTAATGCATATCAGCACGTGTTTTAAATTGTCGCCAAGCCCATTGGAGCATGTTTTTATCAAGATTTGATTTCAAGATCATGTATTGACTCGAAAAAAAATAAGGTTTTTTAGATGCCCTTTCTAGAAATTCTTATCTTGTACCAAAAGAAAGAGATGCATCTTTTGATTTACAAAGAACAATTCTTTTAAAGCTAGAGCATTTTCATCTTCGAGTAATGAAATCAATATTGATTGTTGATTTGACCCTTATGAAATAAATCCAATCAAGTATGTCTTCTGATCTTCTTGTTCACAATATCAAGAATCCTACTTTTAAGTTTCAAGATAATTCTAAGTATAAATTCAAAAACAAACTATTCTATTTTGAAGGTCAATTATAGGTTCCAAAAGGAATAGCATGATTACATGTTTTTTAAGCACGTCACAACTTTCCAGCAGTATGACATTTTGGATACAAAAAGACTTTGGAGCTTATATCTAGAGATTTTTGGTGGCTACAAATGTAAAAGGATATGAAAGACTTTGTTTAGTCATACGACGTTTATTCAAGTTCAAAAACTCCTCGTCATTGACTTTATGGACTTCTTCAACCATTATCTATTCTAAAACAACTATAATCTTTTGTTTTTATGGATTTTATCATAGATCTTCCAATTTCAAGTTCTTATGACTCTATATTCGTGATAATAGATCGTTTTTACTAAGATGGCATATTTTGTACCATATACAAAATCTATTACAAGTAAAGAAATAACTAAAATCTTTCATGACAATATCTATCACTATCATGGATTACCCAAGGAATCTTCTAAATAGATAACTTATTTATTTTTATATTTGATGTATTTGATAAATCCTACTAATTCATGACATATATATTGACTTGCTCCCAAATCCACATACCACATTGAATTTGAGTTTTATTTAATTATAAATTTTATCATGTATAATTCATTTTATTTTATAATAATATTTGTTTTTTTTCATATTATTATTATTTTTAATTTTTATTCTTGTTTTACAATCTTTAATCAAGTAATTAGATTTCTTACAAAAAAAATACTTCTTTTCAATATCAAAATTATTATTATCATGTAATATAATGGTATTACTCTCTTTTTATGGATTCTTTATGAAATTCTTATTAAAATAAGATTTCTTGTTATTATTTTGAAATTTTTTGCCTACATATAGGGCTAAATTATTATCATATGTTAAACTTATGTTTTTTATGAGTATTTCTTTTTGGATCAAATTTATTATTAAAGATGCTAATGTTATCTTAGGCTATCTTTTTAAGGAGCTAATGTAGGATCTATAACTTAGAGGCAAACTTCTCATTAAGGTAACACTATCATCTTTCTATTTTTATTTTATTTTTCTTCATTTTTCTTTTTTATTTTATTTTTCTTTTTTATCTTCTTATTTCTCTTCTTTTCTTCCTTTCCTTTCTTTTGATTTGTTTTAATCTATTTTTATTATTTATTTATTATTATATTTTTTTATTATTAATATTTTTTTTTAATAACAAGCTCTACTTCCACTAATCCATCATCCAATTTTAGCTATACAAAACATATTTATTATAGAAGTTTCTCTCAATAAATTTTACTTTAGATTGCATATCCATTATTAGCAATCTTTTTTTCTATTTGTCTAATAATTCCTCTATTGATTCACAAAACTTATGATTTAAAGCATATTAAGTACTTTTTTTTTAATCCTAAATACTTAAATGAGTCAATTCAATGACTTACATTGTACTTGATCCCTATCCATGGGTAAAACCTAATATGCACTGCCCTGCCATGATACCATTCATTTCCATTAATGTCGCACCTACTACCCAGAATTGTCATGATGATGCTATGCTACTTTTGCTTATAATTAGAGTTCATAGCAAGCTGGAATTGAGAAAAGAAAAAATCCAAAAGTTTCAATTGAGGCTTCCTAAATGTTGACAATACATAGCAACCTCCAAACGCAACCAAGATCTTTTCAAAAGAAGATGTAAATTTTTGTGATGATTGTATATAAAACATTGCAAAAACTTCCATACTAAATTCCTAAAACTTGACCACAAATAATCCAAAACAATACATAATTGAATCCAAAAAAATTACAAACTATTCAGCAACTGTTATATGATTATTACTAATATGTACAATTGCTAGGTCTAAATAAGCAATATTATTTTTTTGTACGTCATGTGACAATGGATGAAAAGAACTCAAGCTCAATTTATTCAAATATGGATTGGAATTATTATCTCTTAAATAAATCAAGTGAGGAGGGATAAATATATGGAATAAAGTAGAGAGACAAAATAGCCTTAGGATTAGTTGCATGTTTCATTGTTCTCGATAAAATAGTGAACCAAAAGTAGAGTTCACAAGGCCTGTTAATGTTGATTATATCAAAAGTTTATGATGAAATGTATGAGAACAATGCAAGGTCAATACACAATCTTGCTCTAATTTTATGATTATGGTATTATAATCAACTATAATATTTGGACTAATATTTCTTATATCAAAATAAGAAGTTAAGATTATTAAAGCCATAGAAATTAATTGAGACATTTGAATTTATTACTCAAAATTTATAAAAAGATTACATATGAAATAAATAAGAATAATAGAAAAAATAAGAATAATTTTACAATTAAAGAAAAAAATAAAATTAAAAATAATAACATTATAATCAACTCTTTATAAGTTATAACTCAAAAGTCTTACCAAAAAAATTATAATTGAAATTAAAATCGTCATAATTTGCTTAATTGAATTATTATACAAAATAAACTATAATGTAACTACAATTACTACTAATTCTCATAGAAAATATATTTATATATAAAATTAAGAAATCATAATAATAGGCAAAGAATCATTTAAACAAAATATTTTAGAATCTATTATATTAGTATGAATCTAAATGAAATACATAAATATTTTAAAAAATCATATAAAAAATAATACAAAGCAAAGGCATCTACAAATAAAACACCTAGCTTGAACTTCATTTGGTTATGGCAACAAAGAAAAGAAAAAGAAAAAAATAAAAAATAAAATAAAAAATCTTAAAAAAATGATACAACTTTTTTTTGAAAATATTTAATTCTTTTTTAATATGCAATTTTTACTTATCTTATATTCATATAATATAATAATATATATTATTTTTTTATTTAAGCATTCTAATTTATTTCAAGAAAAAATAGACTTTTTTTCTTAATTTACTTTTAATAAATATATAATTATGCTTTTTCAAGCAATATCTCTTGAACAAAGATATCTTTTAGCAAAAAAATTATTTTTATTTTTATTTTTCAACTTTTTTAAAAATATTTAGACTATTTCCAATTAGATACAATTAGCCTTCTATCTTGAATCAACATTTTGTTTGACGAAAAATTATCAGCATGCTTATAAACTTCAAATAATTTGTCAAATTCAAAATAATTTAACACAAAAGAAAAAATAAAAGAAAATTAAACTTAAAAAATTTAAAATAAACATATTAAAATTAGATTTGATGTTTTAAAAAGTTAAACAACAACTTAATAGTCTTAATTAGAATTCAAATGAAATATAAATAATATTATTTTAAAATTGATAAAGAATTAATTTCTTATTTTAATAATTATTTTTATCCTTTCATTGCATTAAATTATTAGTGCCTAATTTAGTAGGATTATTTGAAATAAAATATTTCAAAAATATATTATTTTAAATTGAAGTAAATTAATATTTTTAGTTTTTTTTATTAATATGTTTGTGAACTGCAATGTATGCATACTTGTGCACGATGTTTACAAAAATTCTTATAATAATTCGTAAAATTATAAAAAAATAATAATTAAAAATCATTTGACAAGTTTCTTAGTTGTTAAATATAACATGGTTGTTAAATACAACATATTTGTAAGTTTTTTTTAGTAGCATCCACATAATTCTATTATATTAAAGATTTTATTACTACTTTCTACAAATTTTCTAAATGACAGACCATTCAATATATGTGTTTTATTAAAAATTGACACAATATCAATTTACAAGGTAAAAGAACCACAATTTCCAAAGTAATTTGTTATTTTGACGAGTTAAAATCTTTATTACTTCTTAATAAATTAAAAAGTTTACAACAATAAAAAGTTAATAAATCACATTATAATTATTTTGAATCTATTTGATAAGAGACATAATAATATAAAACATTAATTAATATGTTTAGAATATATAAAATTGTATACTAAAATTAAATTTATTAACAGAAGTTATGAAAATATTTTTGTTATTGCAAGATAGCAAAATACTTATTTTTCACAAGAAGAATATGAATTAAAATAAAATTTAAAAATTCAAAAATGGACTTAATTCACTTCCTTATAATATATTTTATTTATTTTTTGTCAAATCTCTTTGACGAATATTTAATAACTTTTTTTTTCAATGAAAAAAGCTTAATGCACCCAAATTACCCTATAATGTTCTAAAAAAATTTAAAAATTAAAAAAAATTAAAAGATTTATCCACAAAATTTATTAAGTTTATTGTAAGCTGTAACAATCATGAAGGTTCCCAATTTATAAGCTAATATTAAGACGTATTTTTTAAATCCAACCTACAAATATGCATTCATGATTTAATTTTTTGAGTTCAATCCAAAACATGTGTTAAAAAAATAATTATTTTGAATATGTGACAAGAAAATAAATTGTGTACAAATCCATTCCGAGCTTTAGAGATATAATTTCCCAAGTGCCATGCATACCGTCACAACTGGACGTTGCCAAGTACCCCTGGCGGATTGGGGCAGCAACAGGCTCGGTCGAAGGTCCACTTTGGGAGTGGGGGACGGTCATAGACTGCCATGCCTCCCTTTGTCTTTGTGCAGTCCATTCTCATTCTCGCAGTGTTCTCGAGGTCTACCTCGCCATCTCTGGCAATCGCCATCGCGCATGGGGCGAAGGAGGATGGGGTGGCGCCGCACAAGACAACCGCCCTTTTCAAGACAACCGCCCTTTTGAGATTGATCTCGAGTCTTTCCGCATGTTTTCCGCTGCAGGTTAGATTGTGTATGGCTGCGGTTACATTTGTTTCGGTGTTCCAGAGGGAAGAGTGCAATTTTTCGAACTCGTGAAATCAGAGAGGGCAACAAGTTATTCGGGGATGTGTGGTTTTTGAATGAGTAATTTTCTGGAGTCCCCGTGAGTAGGTCTAACAAACACTTCGGGCGGGCTTGTACCATTTATTGAAACTTGCTTTTCTTCTGCTGCTGAGCGTGCTCTTGGGATCGGGTCATCTTGGCTCCTGGATCTATTTGTTATTGGTCGTGCATGCTGGTGGTGCGGTAGAGCGATTGAGCTTGGTATTGAGTTCGCTTTCGTACACCAGAGTATGATGAGCTTGACCTCGTTGCGGACCGGATTTCTAGGTTTTGCATTTACAAGGTTGTGACGTGTGTCAAGGGTACGGTTGGGTCTTCCTGTGGTCCGTCTGTCCCTTTTGGACTTTTCCGTGAAGCCACTGAAGTAATGGTTTTAGGTTGTGAAAAGTTCTTTGAAGGATTTGGCACCGTTTTCAGACCAGGAAAAACCCAAGATTTTATGGACTTTGCAGGTGTTCATGTCACCCTTAATCTCAATGGTTTGGTTTCTCCTGAACAATGAATTGGGATTTCTTATGGACGTTAATGAATAAATCCATTAAAAAAATTAATTGAAGAATTGGCGTCTACATCAAGTTTTCTTGGCTTCTTTTCGGACATGATTTAGCTCTGTGGCTAGGTACACCATCAGCTAATCCAATTTAACGCATTGAATCTAGATATCTGGCTTCGAGTTTGCAGGCACGGATGAACAGGGAAGGGAAGGGAAGGGAAGGTTGAGGTGACATTCAAGCTTCTGTTATTCTGTTGCCGTTAAAGGGTCGGGCAGTGAGAATTTCCATTTTAGGGTTTTGTAGAAGAGGTTCGTTTGAAAGTTCTTGAGATATGTTCGCGCTTCTGGTGCTTTTTTCAGGTAGATTAGATTGTGAGTATTTAGTGAGCGTTTTGAAGTTCGCATCAATGTCCGAGGTTGCCTAGCTCGCAATTTACTTGGGCGCGATGCAATATTGTGAGGCAGCAGGCTAAGAAGAAAATTTACGCTGTTCACTGATCGGTATTTCCTGCAGCGTACAGTTGTCTTGACTAGGATTTAGCGAAGCCATATTGTTTAGCAGTGTTTCGGTCACACTTTGCTGCAATCTGAGAGGGTGAAATTTAAGACCCTGTTGGTCACAGCTTGTTTCTTCACCATCCAGAATTATCGTTGAAAGCTGCAGGGTTAAAATTGCACTTCATGGTGATAACTGCTGACGCCTTTCGGAATTGTGATAGAGTAGGAGGTGAATTCCGACCTTTTCTCTCACAGTCCGAAGTGGAATCGCTGTTTTATTCTAACCATTACACGAATGTGCGTTTGTGTGGGTGATCAATGATGACGTAACGGTAACCTCATGTAGGCATTGAGTTCAAGCAATATGTGTAGTCCTTTCAGCTGGCTTTTGCTCACGAAAGATCCCGAAGGCTTTGATTGCCATATCTTGTCACGTATACACAATGACCTAAAACACTTTCGTGGTATGTCTACATCCAGTTCACAAATAATTCTTTTATGCACGATAGAGGGGATTTACAATCAACTGAAGGGGCCAAATGTCACATAAACATCAGATCAAGTCTGACGGTGACAGCATGAGTCCTGTAGAGCTTCCCGATGAAAGCGACCGAGACGACTCTGAATTTGTTGAAAATGATCCGACTGGTCGCTATGGGCGGGTAGGTTCTCTGACATCATGGCTTTTTCTATTCGAGAGCTACTACAGTTGATATGTTATATCATAAAAATAATCTCATTTAAACTGGTGCATTCAACCTTAATCTAGTCCGACTGGAGTAATAGTTCAGTTCCTGTATTGACTGCTGAGCATCAAACGTACCAAAGTAAAAGACAAGCAGTTGTTTGTTTAAGAATGACAAAGAACTTGTTCCAATAGTCAACGAGTGGTTGCTTTCTCCAAATCCCCATGGTTTAAATTTTAATGTGTGAGACTCCGTTTCTTTTCTGTAACAGTATGCGGAAGTATTGGGTAAAGGGGCCTTCAAGACAGTGTAAGTCCAGTCTTCTGAATCGAGCTGGTTTCAGTGGATGGTGTTGTTGATTGAAGGATAGAGCGTGTCTTGTTGTTTGCGTGCATGAAGTTGGCAGGCATCACTGTGCTTGAAGGCAACCAGTAAGTAGCATGTAGGTGGTGAGAAATGTTTGGATGGGTAGGTTTTGACGATGTCGCTGTTGTCGACTTTGTGTGGTGTCGTACAGATACCGGGCATTTGACGAGGTGGAGGGTATCGAGGTAGCTTGGAACCAGGTGAAAGTGCAAGATGTTCTGCAGAGCCCCGAGGACTTGGAGCGGCTGTACTCGGAGGTACATCTGCTGAAGACACTGAAGCACAGGAACATAATAAAGTTCTACAATTCGTGGGTGGACACGAAGACGAAGAACGTGAATTTCATCACAGAGATTTTCACTTCCGGCAATTTGAGGCAGTACGTGGCGGGGTTGAATGGGTTGGGTGTTAGTGTTGGCATTGTAGCGTAGGTCGTAGGAACGTGGAGCGATTGGATGTTTGACGGGAGCGGTGAGTTGGAGAGCAGGGGAGGGGGTTGGGATTGGGATGGTGCATGAATGTGGATGTGGTTGGTGAGTACTGAAAGTGGGTGTTGGCGGCAGATACCGGAAGAAGCACAAGCACGTGGACATCAAGGCGGTGAAGAATTGGTCACGGCAGATATTGCGGGGTCTGCTGTACCTGCATAGCCACGATCCGCCGATCATACATCGCGATCTGAAGTGCGACAACATATTTGTGAACGGCAATCAGGGAGAGGTGAAGATCGGGGATCTGGGTCTCGCAGCGATCCTTCGGCAGGCACATGCAGCGCACAGCGTGATCGGTGAGTAGGCTGATTGTGAGGGTTTGGGCTGTAGTGTAGCCACAGTGATGGGTGAATGTTGGAGTGTTTTGTGGGGTTGAAGTTGCTGGTGGGGGCGATGGTGCTCGGTAAAGCGTGGTCGTGGCGTACGTGTGGGAGTTTGAAAGAACTGGGAGAAGCTGTTGTGAAAGTGAGGAGCGACGGGCGAGGGGTATTATTTGGCGTTGATGTGGATTGTTGTGGAGGTGGCATTGGAAGCTTAGCCGGAGGGGGGCGGTCGTTTGGCAGGGACACCAGAGTTCATGGCTCCTGAGCTGTACGAAGAGGAATACAATGAGCTGGTGGATATATACTCGTTTGGGATGTGCCTGCTGGAGATGGTGACGTTCGAGTACCCGTACAGCGAATGCACAAACGCCGCGCAGATCTACAAGAAAGTGTCATCGGTAAGGGGTGGACTTGTTTGTTGTTTCGGGGGGGGGATCATTGCAATGGTTGCGGGCGCAGAGCGGGGATCGTGGGGTGAATAGAAAGGACGGCATGAAACGGGTAACGAAGGCAGTGCGGTTGGTGTGTAAAGTGGTGCGCTAAGCTGATAGCGCAGCGGAGGGGTGTATGGTTTGGGGTTGGTGTGCGACGATGAGAAAGTTGTGGTTGTGTGGTGGGCGTTTCGAAAGACGAGCTGGAAAAGCAGTTGTTTGAGTTGGGTAGGGTGGCGTGGATAGGAAATAGGTTCCGGCGTGTTGGAGAGCACGCGAGTTTTGGTGTTCACAACTTGGAGGGGCGGGTATGGGAGAAAGACTGCAGTCCGTGGTTATGACAGCATCGCGTAGAGAGTGAAGTGGAGGTCGGTAAGGGGAGGATAGGAGTTGGCGGTGCGAGGTTTGTTGGGGAAGGAGGGGTTATCGAGAAACGATGGTGGGTGGCAAGGTTGATGGTGTGGGGTGTGTTGGTACGCATGTGTGCGCAGGGGAAGAAACCCGCAGCGCTGGATAAAGTGAAGGACCCGGAAGTGCGGGCTTTTGTGGAGAAATGTCTGGCCAAGGCATCTAAGAGGCTTCCCGCAAGGGATCTTCTGGTGGACCCGTTTCTGCAGTGCGAGGGGGATCGTGAAGCGGTGGAGGCTCTGCCGACAATTACTCTGTCAAAGACGCGGGCGGATGACTTCGAGGAGCTTGGGGTGATTTGCGAGGACAGCGCGTCGAAGCAGAAGGGCGGGGAGTTGAACAGTATGTATGAGGCGGACAACGAACGGGGTTACGGACAGGAGAGAAGAGGTGGTGGATCCGGCGACGACGAGAGGTCGGAGGGGCGCGGCTCTGGAAGGTTGGCAGCAGCGTCATCGGGAAGGCGTTCGGACGAGGAAGACGATCCTTCGGGGAGCACCCGGTATGGTAAAGACCGTGTGAGGAGGAGCAGCCGCGATTTCCGAGTGAAGGGGAAGCGGAAAGACGACGTCACAATATTCTTGAGAGTGCGAATTGCTGATCATGACGGTGGGTGGGCTTGGCGTTGGAAGGGATGAGATTGGGATGACGGAGGGTTGGTGGTAGCAGTGAGATTTGGGTGGACGGCATAGCGAGACGAGCGTGTATAGAGTAGAAAGTGGCGGGGTATGGAGTAGAGTTAGCGTGGGGAGTTTTGGCGAGGCAGGTGGTTTGTCGTGACGAGTCTTTGTGAAGAGAATGTGGGAAGCGCATTGTGCAGGTCACAGCCGCAACATCCACTTCCCTTTCGACATAGAGGGCGACACGGCAATGTGCGTTGCGAGCGAGATGGTGGAGGAGCTGGACCTGTCGAACCAGGATGTGACGACGATAGCGGAGATGATCGACGCAGAGATCTTGGCGCTGGTTCCGGAATGGCGACCTGGAGTCGCCGTGGATGAGGGCGGTGTGGAGGCAGACAGTGCGTACCCGACAGTTGTGGATGGGTCAGACGAGGTGGGATCAGGCGATTCTGTGGTGGAAGATCCGCCGAGTTCGAGTTGGAAGGGGCGAGCCGTGTCTCCAAGGTGTGTGGTGATGATGGTTACGTGGGCACGGTTGGGATGTAGTTGTGGTGGCGACCGCGGGGGGAGATTGTGGAGGGACAGTGGAGGCGGAGTGCACGACGGTGTGCGATGAGGTTGCTTGAATGTGGTATGAGGGCGTTGTGGTATTTTGAGTTGGAGCGGTGGAATAGATGGAGGGGCGGTTACTGTGGTGTGTGTGTGGGTGCGGCATGAGGTATAAGGTGGGTTGATGGATGTCGGATCGTGTGGTTGCAGGTTGTGTTCGGTGGGCGGGACGTCCCCTCCAAGGATGGTGGAGGGCACAATGCACGGGCGATTCGAGGAAGTAACGTATCCGGCGCGCGCGAGCAGTTCTCGACGTGGTTCAGAGCCGATCTTCACGAGCGAGTCGTCGGACGAACGGGACGAGTCGGGGGATCAGGGGTCGAAGTACGATGGGTCGCCGGAGAGAGGATCGGGTGCGTCGTGCTCGAAGCATGGTGGTGGGAGGGATTGGAGCGGGGGGTTCAACGAGTTGGTAGAGAGGCGGAGGAATGCGGGGACTGCTGCGTACTCTCACGAGCCGTGGGACGTGCTGCATCAGAACGAGGAGAGAGGGGACAGTAGCGTTGAGGAGGAGTTGGCGCTTTCAGGGGAGGATGAGGAAGACGATGAGGAGGCGATTTCACGGAAGCTGGAGCATCTAGCGCAGAAGCAGAGGGCGGAGTTGCGGGAAATGCACAGGAGGCACGAGCAAGCGATGTCGAGGCTTCGGAACAGGCGGAGGGGGAAGGGGGCGTCGTATGGGGAAGCAGGGCGATCGGTGTCACCTGGGTCTCAGCGGACGGATTCGTCGTGCGAGGCGTTCCATCAGGCGGAGGCGAGGAGGGCATTGGCGAGCGGGTCGATGTCGAACGCAGCGTGTGGGAGGCAGGTGGGTGTGGATGGTGGGAACGGCAAGTCGGTGGTGGAGGAGGGAGGCAGGAGGGGGTGTGCGGAGGGGAATGGAGGTGTCGGTCCTGCGGATTTTAGAGTTTTTGGCGCACCAAAAGCGTATGGGTTGGGGCACAACTTGCAAGGTCATGTTGTGATTGACAAGAGGTCAGGAGAGGGATCGGCATGGAGGTCGGATGCTGAGGGAAGCGATCAGGGGAAGTCGCATAGATGTGGGGAATCCGGTGCAATGAGTGGTGAGGGCGGCGGAGCGCGGTGAAATGAGCGAAGCGAGTCGTGAGGTGGGTGGTAGCGTGGTAGTGCAGATGCTTGTAGAGGTAGGATTTAATTCGTACAGGTGGTCGATGTATTATGCAATTTTTGGTGCTGGTTGTTGTTTGGTAGTTGTGATCAATTCGAATGGTATTTCTGATGGAGTTTCAGAATCGGTAACTTTGATAGTAGGCTTTTGTTTAGATTGGTAATTGTGTTTGTTCATTTTGGTGGGGACGGGGGGAGGTTTGTGGGATTACGCTTTTGTTTGTTTTGCCCTTTGTTGTTTATTTTGGTTTTTTGGTTTTATTATTTTTGTTTGTTTATTTGCTTTTAATGTTGATAGGAATTTCTGTTGTTTTGGAGTGGGGGTTTGTTGTTAAATAGAGGTTGTTTGAATACTTGGTGGACCTTATGGGTGTAATTGGATATTATTTACAGATTTATGTTTAGGATTGGCTGCACGGTTGCATTCGTTCTCTTGGAAGGTGAACCTCTTTGTACTGGGATCTATTTACCATGCTTATACGATTTAAACGTTTATTTTGGTTTCGGTGAATTCCTCTAGTGTCTTTCTTTTTTTAGGGAGGTTTCGTTAAGATGATTTGTGTTGCATACATGTGATGGAATGAAATGCTATGAATTAGATGCTTACCCATCGAAGTGGGCTATTTTGAAGGGACTGGCCTGTCTCCTTGTTGGTGTATTAGTATAGTCATTTGGTTGTCTCGTGGACAAGTTCCAAAGAATATTTTTATTATATGTTCTTGTTGTGTGTTTGCGTATTTTTACTTACATGCATACATACATATTTTATGATCCTTGGTGATGGGGAATTGATGTCACTATTATTCGCTGCTAGGATTTGATAAGTTGGTTCTCCAACCAAAGTTCCTTCCATTACCGTTTTCAGAATGTGAGGGGTGTGTAATCTGATGTAATAATCGTTCAGTCTGATTAGCATGCTTCTACGTTTACTGTGGACTTGTTGGTGTTAAAACGGTGTAGGCTTGGAATATGTTACGATGTAGTGGTTTCATTTGTATTTCCTCGAAATACAAAGTCTTACTGAAATTGTTTCCCCGAAATGACTAAAAAGAAATGTACATTTTCCAAAAACAGGAAACCATCAAATTTAACCTTGTATTGTAGGGATAAGAAGTTGGCTTAGCACCAATCTTGTGCTAGCCAAAATATCATAGCGGAGCCTAACTTAGGCGTAGTGGGAATTCTTCGTCCACGGTGTTTTAACATAAAAGCTGCTCGGCACAATGGCCTCGGCACGTGTTGGGGCATACATTTGCTTAATACGTTTACTTACTCTGTCGTGCTTGGATGGTTTCATCTTGCAGTCGTCTTGTGCCGTCACTAGGTTAAGGTTACCATGTGTGGAGAATTCATGCCCACCTCTGGTGGGAGCACGTCCCATTGCATGTTGACAGCTCACACCTTGTCAGTTACATCGGATTTGCTAAGACAGCAATTGCAATTGGCCAGTTCTTTGATAGAGACGATGAGTTGCACAGAAGTTGGCAAATGCAAGAACTCAAAGAATCTTGTCAATACCGATGAGCTGCTTTGATGGCCTGTAGAAAAATCCTAAGCATGTTTGGGAGTCCTTTGGGAGATTATTGGACATCAAATTTGTAGATTATTGCACATGAAATGTCTACTTGTAATTTTGTGACTTCAAAAATAGATCTTGTTGGCCAAATTTTGCATTTGGCAAAATAATTTCACATCATATAGGCACCATTGATCCATTGCATTTCATTTATTGAAATATAGGGCACAAGGACTATAATGCCTTTGTAAATAGGATAAAGTTCCATTCCAAAAAACCTTCTTTGGTGCATTATCAAATTGTCGTAAAAATAACTCTGCTTCTCTCTAAAAGACAAAAAGACACCATATCTTCTTCTGGACATTGTATTCCCGCAAAATTATTAGAACATAAATTCCATAAGGCCTATATTAAATGCTACTTAATAAGGTAAAGCACCATCACTTTTCATGTCTTCAAAACTTCCTAAAATTAAAAAGCTTGCAATGTCAAGAGTATTGGCAAGCATGATAAATTGAAATGTCCAACTCTACTTTTAACACTTAAGGTTTTGTGATAGTGATTTCATCAACAAAGTTGAAAGTGCTTTATTTGTAGCTCTATATAGCCATGATGCCTCTTGTTGCAGAAGTACCATTATGAATAATATCTAGAAACTCATTTTCAATGATCCATGAGCAAATAGAAGCAATAATGCTACAATAAATAGCCAAATTTCTATTCAAATATCACATATTGTATGTGATTTGTTCCATCATAAAAATAATCAATAACTTGATTTTCTCACAAGCTCTTTCCATCATTATCTCTTCATTGTTGATCATACCTATCATAGTGAGTACAATGAATGTACTCACAAGCCTTGTATTGATATAGATAAATTATATGAACTATCATTTGGAAATTTCTCTTTTGGTGAGTACTATCTCACTTTCATCTAAAACTTTATGATTGTAGCAAATGCATATGATACTCCAAATATCTATCATATCTCACAATATCAAATTTTTCTTCTAGAGGATTGTCATGGACATACATTTTTATTCCAATAATTACTTAAATAATGTGAATAGATAGAAGTATATAAAAATAGATTAATTTGATGATATCTTATAGAAAAGCTTCATAGATGCAATTTCACCTTTGTATGTGTCTATAGCTGATTGGTAGGTTGAGCACTTAGCCAATAAGTTAGTTAAGTGTTGTACATATTGGTAGCTTGTAGTACAAGCTAACTATGTGGTGTACATATATGAAACTTGTCTTGCAAGTTAAGACATGTGTCTCACAAATTAGACACATATTGGAGGTCCTATAAAACATTGCCATATAGCTTTTAGTTAGATAATATATAAAAAGACAAGAATCAAGCCTTCTTCACTCTTGTCAATTTTTTTCTTGCTTCTAGTATAGTTTTAAAGGTCTCTAATTTTCTTGACTTTTAGTAATAACTATTTTAGTTTCTTTTTAAATATAAATATTTATTTACTTTTATTTTGGCAACTTTCTTTAAAAAAAGTTTCACTTATTTGGATGCATAACATCAATGAAATAGTTAATAAGGAAATAAGAAATTATAATAGTACTACTTGAATTAATGAAGATGTAATAAAATAAAAGAATATTTAAGGATTAAGAAAAATATAATGTAGAGTCACAAATATATACCTACTATAATTATTACTTAGGTAATATGAATAGGTAGAATGAGGTAAAAGTAAATTAATTTCATAATACTTTTTAGAAAAGCTTTTTAGATGCCGTTTTAATTTTACATATATTTATAGTTGATTTGTAGGTTAGAAACTTGGTCAACAAGCTATTCATATGCCACATGTATTGATAGCTTGCGGAACAAGCTAATTATGTAGCGCCCATATAAAAAACTTGCCTTAAAAATCAAGATATATATCATGCAAAGTCAAGACATTTTGGGAGGTCCTATAAAATGTCGCCACATAGATCCTAGGTAGATAGTGTATATAGAGACAAGAGTGAAACCTTCTTCACTCTTGTCAATTCCTTTCTTGTTTCTAGTATACTTTCAAGAGTTTCTAGTTTCTCAATCTTTCAGTAATAGCCATTTTAATTTTCTTTTTAATATACATACTTTTTTATTTCTATTTCTTTGAAAGAGTCTCACTTATTTATTTGCTTTCATCAAGTTCTTGTCTTTGACATAGAGTAGTTAAAAATTAGCTTAGTATTTAATTAGTTACAAGCAATTGCATCATAAAATAGAATAATATTGAATTAGAAGCTATATAATTTTAGCTGAGTTAATGAACAGAAAAAATATTTTTTTTATCTTTTTACATATTAAGTCTAATTTTAGAAGATATTATCTTATGCTTGCTTATAATTTCAAAAGTCTAAATATCATTTGAAAACCATATTTGAAAGCATTACATAATAAAATCTTAAGAGATGTTACTAGAGAATGAACAGAAGATCCACAAGCAAAATAAATAAAAGAACTAAATTAAGAGGAGACATGAAAAGATCTCTTCTAATTAACTTGAGTCTAGCAAGCATAATCCAAGAGATGTTGCTACTATCCTTGAAGAGACTAAAGACTTACAAAGTTTGCTACAATAATACACCATAGCAATGGAAGATTGTATAAAAATAATTTTACAATAAATGTTGGAATATTAAAAAAAACTTCTACAAGTAGTCCTGAATTTTATGACCTATGATCTAGGCACTACAAACTCGGCAACTAAATGAGTAGATTAATGAAGGACACAGCCAAATCCTATGAAAAAATCTATATATTGTTCTAATCATCAACATCCTAATAATATCTATTTCAATTCCAAAAATAGTAGTAAACTTGAGATAATCCTATTTTAAATACCTCACTTAAAATATTTTATCATTTGAAATATTTAAAAAAATATTTGAAATGATATTATAAGAAGCATACATTATATGATTTTTATTGTTTATTTTTAGGTATTTTGAGGCCACTTAAAAAGATTTTGAATTAAGTTACATAAAGAGTTTTAGGTGCATGAAAACCTTTAATGATGTTCTAATGAGATTGTCAAATATCAAACAAACTAGCCAAAAAGAAACAATAAAAGATTATTTAGACTGGTTTATTGATCTTGTAAAAAAACTTAACACTATTTTCATTGACTCCATCCAAATCTTGTGGTTCAAGTAAAATTTACTATAGTTAAGGACATGAATCTTGAAAAATTGAAAGATCAAGACACTCTTGTGTCACTCAAAAAGACTACATAATCACTGAAAAATGACAATATATTAAATTAAAATAGCTATTATCAAAGATAAGAAGATTAAAAAGTCTTGAAATAAAACAAAGGACTAGAAAGTCATTGATAAGAATGAAGAAGGCTTTATTCTTATCTCTGTGTATATTATCTAACTGAGAGCTATATGACAATGTTCTATAGGACCTCCAATATGTGTTGATTTTGTAAAACATATATTTTAACTTATAAGATAAGTTTTTTAAATATAAATGACATAGTTAGCTTATTCTATAAATTATCAATATATGTGATATGTGATTAACTTGTTGACCAAGTTTTTAACTTATTAATCAACTACAAATATGTGTAAAATCAAAATTATATCTATGAAGTTTCTAAAAAGCTTCTCTAAAAG